CTCCTCGGCTTCCCGGAGCTGAATACAGGATCAAGTTCATATTTCCATAATTCTTCTACAATCATTAATCCAATTAAAACAATTATAATGCTAACAATCTACACACCCCTTTAACTCCAAATAAAGTATTACAACTATACTAATTTATAATCTACCTAATCCTTAAACGAACTAAAAAGAAAAAAAATAAATTCACATATTTAAAAACACTATTATATCTATATATATAATTTAAACAATAATCCTTTCCTAATTAACATAAAGAAAATTTTCATTTCATATAATTAATAGTATCATTAAAATATAAATTTATAAATAGAAACAACTACTAAACAAAAAATATTACCACTCAAATATATCCCATCTATAATCCTTCAATCTCCCCCCAAAAGTAAGGAAAAAAACACACTAAAAAGAGGAGAAAATAGCCCTAATCATATATAAAAACATTTCTCAACTTCCCTTAAAGAATCCCTCCACCTGTTATACCACAAAACTTTTATTATTACTTCAACCTTAACCAGATATCTAGTTAAATCATTTCAATTAAACAATCAAAGTCAGAAATCTAAGTCTCCTTTTTTCCCTTTTCTCTTTTTCTATAAGTAGCACGGGTCATAATCCGATTCGCTTCTTCTCTTGCTTCAGATTGTTGAGTCTGTGCCTTCCCTTGTACCAATAATGCTTCCAACATTTTTGATAATCCTCCCATTTCTCCAGGTGATGCTTTTTCAGCCTTTAAAATTAGTAAATAAAAATCCTTGGCTTTTTAAGGTGTATCCAGTCTATAACTTTTATTATCAAAAGTCACCATAATTCCAGTAGGTATATTCCATCTGAATGGGATTTGTCTATTTTTTAACTCTTGTGTCAAGAAAGCAAATTCCTTTCTTTTTTGTAGTATTTTATACGGCACTTCTTTTAAAAGTATTATATCTTGATTGGCAATCTGGAATCTTTGCTGATAATAAATCCATATAATTTCATTACGACGGGCCTTCCTGGAAAAATAAATGACCACATCCCTTGGTAAATTCCTTTGTGCTGCAATTCTAGAATTAATTCTATAAGCAGAGTCTATTTCTTCAAAAAGTTTTCTGTAATCACACCCCAATGCAGGGGCCAGGGATGTGGCCACTTTTACCTTCAGATCTTCTTGACCATCCTCCGGAAGACCCCGAATTCTCAAGGCAAACTCCATCTGTTTGAATTGCATCATAGTAATCTCATCCTGTAACGATTCAATCTCCCCCTCACATTTTTTATTCATATTTTCAACTTTCGTTTCCACTTCCTGCACTTTATCAGCTACTACATTCAGAGAGTCAGCAAGCATTTTGACAAGCTCTTCTATTTTTCCAACCATTTCTTCCTTAAACTCTTTCATCAAGTCATCAGTAAATTGCCGCACTTTTAACATAAGCTTTTCAGTATAATCATCAAGCACTTCTTGTAATTTTTGAA